AGTTGTTTGTCCGTTGTTTTCCTCCTGTTTGTATCCCCCCCCCTTACTTTGGTTTGTGAGCCGCCCTGAGTCCCTCTGGGAATAGGGTGGCATAGAAATGCAATAAATCAAATCAAATCAAATCTTAGCCAAAATGCCAAGAAGTATAGCAATGCACCAGCACTGAAGCAGTCATAACTTCCCCAAATTTCAGGAGTCACATTCTAGATTTTGGAGACTTTGTGTAAGTTAGCCCATTTGAGATACTTTGGTTCAAAAATTGACCAACCATGATGCATCGTTTCACCCAGTTAAAGGTCATGTCAATCGTTTTAGTGGTAGATAAATAAATTCAAAATACTTTGTCTCTTTGAATTTAGAATTTGGCTTCTCATGGTTCCAGCTTACCTGAGATCCAGTTGAATACATTTATCTTCTAAGCTTCGTGTCTTGGAAATAAATTCAGCGGTGCATTTCTACTGCTGTTCTTAGCGTTTTAGCTTAACACGATTTCTTATCTATTTGTCTCCTGCTGACTCAACATACATATTTTCTTTTTCTGTATTCATTTTTTCCTATGAACTAATAAATCTCTTGGAGTATAGAAGTGCTAGAGAAGAACACCAAGGACCTATACCAGTATGACACATGTTTCTTTTTCAACTCATCCACATGATGTATAAACATGATTCTTTTAGATATAAAAAATAGGCAGCTGAAAGAATTAGCAGAGCACGCTAGCTAGCCTCAGATTTTGGATTTGATTACTAGCACATTTTCTCCCCAAGGACATTGCTGCGATGCAGCATTTATTTGGCAAAAGCCATGCAAAGAAGTGCAAGGAGCAGATAATGAATGTCTCAAGACCTCTCAAGTCAAATTACATATAACTTAAATTTATTCATGAACAGGTCCCACTGTATCCAGTGAATGCTGCTTGTAGGCCAGCACAAACAAGAGATACCTTCTTTGGAATGCAGGCATGCTCCCTCTCCAATAGGGAAAATGATTTGTTAGTGAAGCCGATAACCATCGTGTTTTGAAAGTCTGTTGTTAGACTTCAAAATAAATTCATAGTTCCAGCATTTGCATGTAAGCTGTTTTGTCTGAGTTTCTCCAGGTAGAAGGCATTTAATTTAATTTTTCTGTATTGCACCATCGTGTTTGGGGTGGATGTTTCCTATACATACGGTGCAAACTTTTTAAAAGATGAGGGTCTGTAATTGTTTCCTCCCCTTAAAGGAACATAATATGGAAAAATGGAGGGGGAACATGAAACATACTTATAATGGAAAATTATTGAGATTATAAAGACAGAACTAAAAGTTTGGTGCACGTAATGATGTATAACTATACAGTATTATGATGAGAATAGCTAGGAATTGTAATCAGGTCTACCTCTTGGCCAAAATGAAGATGGGGCAGTGGTGGTGGTGGTTAAAAGCACAATGACTATATATGTATACTTTTTTTTCTCTCTTTTTTAAAAAAAGGAGGAGGAAGATATATGTTAACATTAAATATATATATTGAAAAGGAATTATAAATACCATCAACATAAAATGGAGTTTGCTCAGAGGCTGAAATACAACAAGTAACTGAGATGAAGTGTGTAGAAGAGAGGAGAGAGGTAAGGGAAGAAGAGAATGTTAGGAGAGAGAGCTGGGGGGAGGAGGAAAGAAAGAAGGAGTGGAAAGGGGAGAGAGGAGGAGAGAGGAAGTAGAGAAGAGAAGGATGACAGAGGGAAGAAAGGAGGTAGAGAGGAGGAGGGGAGAGGGAGGAAAAAGTGATGAATAGGGTACAAATATTGTGTATGAAGAGCAGGAGCCAATAATCATTCTTGGGGGTTGATGGTAAGACAAATTATTGTAAATATTGAATAATATAAAATGATGTATACATGTGGTTATTTGTTATGAAAATGAAAAAAAAAATAAAAAAGTTTTTATATATAAAAAGCAACATAACAATGGAAGACAAAAGTTAAATATCTTTAAAGACAAAAACCTCCAGGATCCAAAATGCGAATTTCTGTGTGAATTTCTGCCATTCTGTACACCTTGCCATCCAGAAGAGAGATGAAAATGATTTCAGCTAATATTATATCCTAATATCATATTCCTAAAATTAATGCAAGCAAGATGGATGCTATAACTATCTCAGACCCGTGCTACTGTGAAATTATAGTTTCATTTGACGATAATTTACATATATTTTACTATGTCTTTTCAATGTATTTTGTTGAATGATAATGATTTTATTAAGCAGATGGAATAAGAATAGCTCTTTTTCACTATAATAAGAAGTCAATTTCATCACTGACTTAATACAGCAAAAGTATTTATTAGGGACCATATTATTATATATATTTCTCATGGGAAGAAGGAATAATTGAAACATTAACTTTCAATAAAAGAAAAATTTAAAAAACCCTCTTAACTCTTTATTCATCCTACTGCATTCATTTCCTGAATGATATAAATATTTGGTTTCTATTAAATATGATTTTAACAGCTTACATGCCCCTGAAATGGATATATATTAAATTACCACAAGCAACAATGGGAAAAATAATGAAAAATTACTAAGCATGTGGTTTTTGGATTTAAATAAATTAAACCAAGAAAGGAGTGGCTTGGTGACCTAGAGGTAAAGAACCTATGTGGAAGGTTGACAGTTCAATTCTAGCCAATGGCAGATGTTTGTTTATCAGGACACAAAGAGAATTTTTCTATTATGAACTTCACTCAGGCATCATCAAGGACATCCAATCATTTAACCCTCATTTCCACTGAGTCGCCCTAACTTCATCCTGAGACAAGGGATCANTATTCTATTCTATTCTATTCTATTCTATTCTATTCTATTCTATTCTATTCTATTCTATTCTATTCTATTCTCCTTGATTAGTTTCCATCTGTTGTTTCGTGTCCTTCCTTCAGGTGCTTTGGAGAACAGGCTGACCCCTTATTTCTTGTGACAATCCCTCAAATATTGGAAGACTGTTATCACGTCACCCCTAGTCCATCCAGTCACACATTTTAATACTCTTTGAGTTGGGCTCTTAATTATGGCTCTGCAGAAGTGATCATTTTTGGTTCAGCTTTTGGAATACTTGTCATGACTGATCAATTGATTCAAAATATTTGTAACCTGTCTGTCAAATCTCTAGTTGACACTCACCGGCTGATTCATGCCTGGAGTTTGCCTACTCAACGGGATCTACTTGACCTCTCTGCTAATTTTCCTTCTTCTGTTTCCCCATCCCTCCTGTTTCATTTCAAAATATTCTTTATTCTTTTCCCCTCCTCCCCCTTTTCTCTTCTCCTGTTTTGAAAATACTTGAAAGCTCACAGCCACAAACCTATGGTCCCTCCAGGTATGCAGTGCATGTGAATGGGTGTTTGTGTGTCATGTTGTGGCTCTCGTTGTTGTTGTTGTTTTTCCCCAGTTTCGTTTTGGAATGAAACTCACTCAACTTTTCTGTATTGCGTGCACAATGGGAATGTCCCTAAATGACAAACCTTCTCTACAAGATAAGGCGAAAATCACCTCGTGGGCAGACCGTCAAACCTAGGATTGTGTATTCTTTTACTTCCATATCAAATTGTTCCTGGCATTGTGGCCACAGAAATATCTGAAGGATATGGTTAAAAAAAAAGAAAATCAAGATGGAATCTTCAATCACGCCATTGTGGAAGCCATCTTGACTTTTCTGACCTCATCCTCTGACCCACGGATTAAGAAAAGATCTTTTCAAGCTACTGTAGAAGACAGCAGGTGAGTCCCCTGGTGAAATTCAGTTGGCTTAACCCAGCAAATATTTAAATTATCTTGAATTCATACAGCTATTTCTTCTCACTGGCTTTCCCCAAATTAGAAGAATGCTTGATTTTTGCCATTTAGCCTGGCCTGGCACCATGCAGCCCTGTGCCAGCCCCGTGCCAGCAAAAACAGAGCTCGGGAGGGCTGTGCTGGCAGAGGGCTTCCGGAGGCCGTCACAGCCGAAAATGGAGGTTGGGAGGACCGCGCGCAGCCCAGCCGAGATCTGTTTTCGCTGGCAGAGGCACCGCAGGCTGGTCCTTCAGCATTTCCAGGGTGGCCCCGTGGGCCAGACCTAATCACCCTGAGAGCTGGATGCAGCCTGCGGGCTTTGAGTTTGACACCCCTCTTCTAAACCAAATGGCGCTAAATAGCTTTTGAACACTCTCCCGGCCCCCCTACACGCTGTGTTCCTGAAATAGAAAACTCATCAAATTCTACTTACTGATCTATCGGCTTGCATGAATGCTAAAGGGGACGCGGTGGCTCAGTGGCTAAGACGCTTGTCGATCAGAAAGGTCGGCAGTTCGGCGGTTCGAATCCCTAGCGCCGCGTAACGGAGTGAGCTCCCGTGACTTGTCCCATCTTCTGCCAACCTAGCAGTTTGAAAGTACGTAAAAATGCNAGTTTTATCCTCTGGTCCCCTAATCATCTTTGTTGCTTTTCTCTGCATGACTAGATGAGCCAATTCTACTTTATTGAAGGTTACATTAATAGAATCTTGCAGGTTTGAAAGTATCTCTTTCTCTGGGAACAATTTACAACTTGCAAACTAAGAATGGTTTCTTCTGAGATCTTGCCCTCCCTACATTCTTGCTATGGGCTTAGCTGCCTTTTATCTCATTGTTCTCTTGATGATATTTCATCGCCCTGTCTGCAAAAGTCGCTCCCACAAAGCATTGCAGCTTACCCCAAGAAAACAGGAAAGCATGAGAAAGAAACATGGGATTTCTCCCTTGGTTCTCTTTCATATAAAAGGGAAGAAAAAAGAAATGTCTTTGGACTTTCAGGATTCCAATTTTTACAGCAATATTTATAAAGTAGAATTCTAGTTTTTTGTGCCCTTTTTCTGACCTGGCCTTCCTTGAAGGGCTGGCATAGAAATCTCTGAGGTGAGCCATAAAACTCGTGACAACAGTTGGGGAAAAAAAGAGAAAGTTGTCCCACATCCTTTCATCCAAAAAGCAAACTGAAAAATCCTGCCACCTTTGAGGTATGGACCCCTCTCCTCTTCCCATGATATGTTTAATGCTTAATTAAAGACAGATAGGAGAAACGAATAAGCCTTATTTCTAGATGTAAAAAAGTAAAGTATCCCCAAAGTACCTTAATGGATTTTATTAATATGTCAATTCAAAAATTTTGGGATTAAAAATAAGCATCGATGGACAATACTATGGCCCCACTTACAAACTTTAAAATATGAAACAGGCACGTAGAAGTTCAAGTATTTGGAGACCAACATGGCAATGCAGTCTACCTGTTTGAAAGAGATTGCAGTGTACAGAGAAGACATCAAAAAATTATCGAGGAAGCTCCAGGGGTAAGTAGGCAGCTTTTGAAAGATACTTCAAATAACTATGATTATTGTGCTTGCTATGTTGTTATAATTTTTGTTTTAATGCTTGTTATTAAGGCAGTCTCAAGTCTACTATTTCTGCAGAAAATAATATCTTTTTCAAGGTCCTGAAATTCTCAAAGCCTATTACTCTGCAATTCTCTATGAACCATATTGAACAGAGTGCAGTTTCCTTACAAATGTGTGATGTAGCCATTCCTTCTTTCTTCTGAGCATGGAAGGACTTACTTTTTCTAGAAAGTTTTTAGTGGCTTTGTTTTCAACCAGTGGAACAGCTTGCCTTGAGAAGTTATGGGAGCTTCATCACTGGAAG